TATCCGTGGAGGACCGGCATGCGACGCCCGCCCCGCAGTGGTTATACGTCCGATCAAATTCAAGACAAGTCGCATTTCTTTCTGAGTTCTAGTACATTCCCAGTTCTTCTGACCCGCCATCGTCATTTTTCAATTTGGTCAGTAGCAACAGATCTCGAAGCACTCTCTGGTTTCCTCCGAGATCTGATCACAGTAAAGTGGCGCTCCATCTGACATTTATAACTATTCTTGCGCAAATAAGCCTCGGTTCCTACTTCCAAGCAGTTCACAGTATCCACAATACCTAGCTTTCAGCTTCCGATCTAACTCACACTTCACTAGCCTCCACTATACCATTTGCGATCGCAACAAGCCTGGACCTTTCCGTGGTGCGATGGTTTGCGTGCCTCAGAGATCCATTGAGCTATGCTGTCTGGTGCTATTTTTGCACCTTCAGAGCCACTCATTCCAGATCGGTCAATGGTTAGAGGCCAGACAAACTCAGCCTCCTGTTCCTCCCGGTTGTGGGTTGAAATGGGGGTGGCTACTCATTTCATAAAACAGGCTCTGTAGTCCAGTGCCTTAACCCGCTGCCTTGCGGTAAGGTTTTTGAACCAAAGGCTTTGGTTGAGAACCCTAATCGTTCTCCTGTCTAGGCCTGGGCAACCTGACGGTATTCTGCCCACGCAGTACAACGAACCTTTCCTACAACAATTTCTTGTTGCTCTGGTCGTGGCAGAGGATAATAAACGACGCCATATCTGCTGCATCGAGCAGGGTGGATAGGGGTTTGGATGCTACTGCTCAGGCCTTCCCGTCTTCTTATACTCCTTCTTGTGCTTCTTCATCCTTATCGTCCAGCTCCAAATTTACTCATATACCCCATTTTCAATCCGCCAATTCTCGGCCCTCCCCCAGCTTACTTCAATAGTCGCTTGTCTTCTAATTTCAAATCACACACAATCGCAGGGTCTCGCTCCAGTCCAGTGGACAAGTCCTTGTTCAACCAAGCGGAAACGTCAGTTCATCCGTTTCCCTTTGGAGTCCTCGTGTCTCGCTAAGACTGGCATGCCTGAAGGTGCGCACTTTGCTGCAGACTGGCCAACAGGCAGCACTTGCCCGCACAATAGAGACCCTATCGATGGATATTTGCCGTTTATCAGAAACCCATCTACAATGTTCGAGCTTCGTGCTTACCCTGAGATCCCCCACATGCGACACTGGCGGCACATTCTTATTGCGCCTGTCGGGCGATGATGCAGCTTCAAATGCTGGTCAAGCTGGCATCGGCATTGTTTTGAGTCCCCGGGCTGAAGCTGCCCTGATTGATTGGATCCCAGTAAACAGTAGGATGTGCGCCGTCACATTAGTTGGTTCGTTCCGTGCTACGAAATAGCGGGGGGGCAAACGGTGCCTGTTTTTCATTGCGGCCCACCCCCTACAAACTGTAGCACTGATTCAGTAAAACATGATTTCTATCAGCAACTTCACGAGCTCCTTCGTTACAGAAAATGTACAGATACTGTGGTGTTGGCTGGGGATCTAAACACCCAAGTCGGAAAATTGTCCTCTGATGAGCTTCATCTGCGCGGACAACATGGTGTAGGCTCTCGTAATGATAATGGTGAGCGATTGCTACAGTTATGTGAAGATGCTCGCCTCTTTCTCGCGAGCACTAACTTTCGACACAGCACCCGCAGAAGTGTGACTTGGCGGCCACCAGCCTCGGGCCAGCCATGGACGCAAATCGATCATATCGCGATCAATTACCGCTGGAGAGGCTGTGTCCAAAACCGTCGCTCGATTTGGAGCACGAGCGTGGATTCTGACCATGCACTTATCTGTGCTGACCTCCTGGTGTGTTTCGGTGGACGTCCGCAACGTCGATGTGAACGGATTGACACCACCTAGCTGGAGAAGCCAGGTATTCTGAATGTGTACCGAAATGTGCTGATATCTGGGTTGAGTAAGCACCCAATGAACACCGCTGAAGATCACTGGTCGCATATTCGTCAAACGTTGCTTTTAGCAGGCAAGTCTTCATGTGGCAAAGCAAATTACCAAACCGGACATTGGATCTGATACGGGAACTAAGCAGTAGGAGACCTGTTGTTAGCGGGACAATACGCGACGAGAGTGGACAGTCGATGCACAACTTGTCAAAACGCTTAGGGCGTTGGGCCGAACATTTTTCAAAACAGTTTAGCCAATCTGAGTCATCGCTTCCGCTTTCGGGCATTGGGTGCTCTTCTCCATGTGCCATATCCTTAGATCCGCACTCACGCGCAGAAGTCGAACCCAAGATCAGACTATTGAAATTGCACAAGACCGTCGGTGCAGATAGAATTTCCCCAACTCCATAAAATCACGAAACCTGGTTTTGTAGATGATTTACACGAGCAGTTAATGGAACTTTGGTAGCATGAAACTGTCCCGACAGCTTGGAGCCGCTCCCTTATAATCCCAATTTACAGATGAGGCTACTGTTCGGAATGCGGCAACCATAGAGCGATCAGTCTGATCTCAATGGCCTCTGTCTTTTTCCGTATACTGACTGGCAATTGTGAAAGCCATATTCGTGAAGATCAAGCCAGGTTTCGATGAAATCGAGGCTGCATCGACCACAGATTCATCTTGCATCAACTATTCCGGCACCGCCGCGTTCATTGGCAATCCACCGTCGTCGTGTTTCTCGACATCAAAGGTGCCTTCGATTCGGTGGATCGATGTGCCCTTTGGGACTGTCTGCTGAGAAAGCTGTGCCCGATAAATATGTAAACATTATCAAAGCGCTGTATGCGCCTAGTTCAGGCAGAGTGAGGGTTTGTGGCCAACTGTCGCCGTCCTCCAACAACCATAGCGGTCTGAGACAACGTTACCCGCCGTCACCTTTCCTTTTTAACTTTTTCATGGAAACGGCATTCGCTGGATACGATCTAGAAGGTGTAGAGCTACATCCTGGTGAGCGGCTTCTTGACTTGGAGTGTGTGGACGATATTGCTATCATCTGTGACAGCTTTCAAACGTGCCAAGCAGCACTCAAGAGATTAGCACCGGCTGTCAATTGTTTTTAGGCTGTGCTTTGCTCCGTAGAAATGCAAAGTCCTCCAAGATTGGCATGGCCCCATCCCTGCACTGACCCTTGGTGGTGATCAGCTATAAGTCGTCCAGTAACTTAAGTACCTGGGCAGCTATATTGGCGTTCGTGGGATCGAAGCTGAGATTACGAACTATATAACAAAACTTCGAAGCATTTTTGCCAATCTCCGCCATCTGTGGCGCAGACGCGACATCACGCTCGTCCTGAAGGGCAGAGTTTATAATCCTGCCTTCCGTTCAACCTTCTTATACTCTTGTGAAACCTGGCACATCAGGTCAACAGACACAGAGACGATAGCCACGTTCGATCATCGTTGCTTTCTCAACTTAGCTCATGTCTGGTGAGAGCACCGCATGAGCAATGAGCGTGTTCGGCGTCGCGTATTTGGTGCAGGAAGAGCGAGTGAACCACTCAGCACCATTATATCACGCATCAGGCTCCGATGATTGTGCCACATGTTGCGCATGCCAGCACACCGACTCCCGCGACATGCATTGTTTGCGCACCGGTGGTGCGGTTGGAAGAGGAGGAGGGGAGGCCAAGTGATGACTTGGTCGAGAGAAATAAAATCCCTTGCTTCGAAGTTGGCGTCGGTTGGTGCATCCCGACTGCCTGGCTGAGGTCCTAAGGACGATGAACTATTTTGGTTGGACACACTAGTTGACATGGCTAGGAGCCGGTCCCAATGGCTTTTGTCTTGTGCGTTCTTTTGACCATCCCTTGCCTGCTTAGACTCCCCCTCCAATCAAAATCTCATTCGTTAGACATAATATAACTCTCTTTTTGCGGCACAATAGCCGGCTGTTAGCTATCCGGAGCGATGTCCATGCGTTACTGGGGTCTCAACCAGCGTGCCTCTGTTGTATTTTTCTTCTTATCTTTCGTATTGCGGCACAATAGCTGAGGTGTTTTCCACCTGCAGCTAGCGTGTATAATGATGATGATCTAACTGCATTTGTTCTGAAATTCGTATTAAGGCTTTTGTCGTTTATTTTAGAAACTTACTCATTTAAGCGTCACCGGTTATGTGTCTGTATTTTCTCTGCTCGCAAACCCCATCGTGATGCCCATTTGAAATTCGTACTTGCGTCATCATCACTGCTGTGTTTTCTCTACCCTCGAGAAACATGTCGTTTGTTTATATGGCGAATATCTACATGTGTATGTCTCGGCTGCAATGTTGTATCAAATCTACTGGGAACCTTTTGAGGGCGTGTTGGTTTCTAAATGTTTCAGTGAACACCCTTGCCGATTGCACGTCGACGGCGTTAAAGTCGAATTCTCACGTTACTTCTCGTCCTTCGTCCGCACACAAGTGCTCAATGTTCATCGGACAAGGTAATTTCGCTATACTGCTTTAATCCTGGGATCAGCAGCGCCACTCCAACACAAACGTTAGTACTGCGTCGCTTGTCGCTTATTGAGTTACACGCTACCACGGCACAAATTGACTGGCGTATGGATCGCGACAATACACAAGTATCCTCAGATGAAGTGCATCTACACCCATATTCCGACCGAACCAGCATCGCGCTTACTCTTCTTGCTTCAGTGAAGAGCACAACCCTTCTCTTGAGTTGATTCCGCGATTCAGAAATCTCACATCGTTTTGACTCAGCATGCCACTAAAACTCAGGAAGAATGACCCGAATGCGTTGGAATTGCCCCTACTGCACCATAATAGAGACATTCAAATGCGCCTGTCCATCTTACTTCAGGTTCCCAATCTCCGAATAAGTTACCGATGCATCCATTAGTTTGTATAATCAGTGTTTTTTCTCTTGAGTTCGCATTTTCAGCTTGTTCCTGAACACAGCGTGATCCAACCTGCCACCGTCCTTCTCGTTTCCTTAATTTTTGTTCATTGCAGGACATGCATTTCAAGTAGCACCTTCTAAGCTTAAGCATACTTCTGTTGCAGCTAAAACCAGAATTGCGGGCTCGTTTGTCCTTGCTGCAGCAAATTTTGCCTCGATTACCAGAGAAATTCCTCAATAGCAACACTTCAAGCAATTCCTCTGTAGCCCACCCCTCCGGTGGCGGCAGCACTACTCCGGGATGTGGTTCAGTCACCAAGCTCCCTACTGTGGACGAAGCCTGGAGTTTACCTATCCCCGCCGAATTGACTCAGCGTCAGATGCAGCTGATGCTCCAGGAGGCCCAGACCCAAGGCGAGGAAAGTAGTTTCGGTGGACTATGTGATGACAAACAATATGCCAACCTTTTGCGCCTGAAACCTCTGGCTTCCGTTCTCAAGAGACGGGATGACAAAGATCCATCAACCATCTCCAGTAGGTTAACAGCAATGGGGCACTCTGCGATGCTGTGCTTAATTGCTCCCCTGTTTTATGACTAAATCTAGAGATAATGCTTCACCGTAACTCGTAACTTTCCCGGATTTTCCTAGCGCTTTTACCTACTGCAACAAGGACCCTTCCCTCTTTTATAAGCATTTTTATCCCCTTGCCTCATTAATCCGTTCCTTGTTGTTCCATTTTCTGCCGCAGCTGTGCCATTCTGTAAAGACATGTTTTCATTGAATGAACTAAGGGGGATTATTACCTTTGTATGTGATAACCAATTCACTAGTAAGAAAGTCTCTCATCTCTGTTATACTATACTGAGCGGTTCGCATTCTTTCTCAGTGGCTTTCCCATATGACTTAATTCTGCTGCCTTTTACGATCTTTAGTAGACAGAACGACTGACTTCATTTAAGGGTTCTAGCGTACTATGTAATCCTTTACCTGGCAATCCACTCTCAGGTGAAACTGGATGTTCTTTGACAATTCGGATACGAAACAATCTTCTAATAGCGTTAACGCCTGTCGAAAAGTTTAGTATCATCGCAGATGGCAATGGGTTAGGTTTATCCACATTCCATATGCGACACATTGATGAGAAAACCAAAATTGATTTTTCACTACAGTATGTCACTGTTCGAATGGGCGATGAAAATATTTAAACATGTTTATCCGTCCCAATCCACGGGATTGTATTTAGTCATGTGCCCATGTAATCAAACGAATTCTTATTGACCTTGCCTCGCTCGAGAACGGATATGTTTACACAGGCGATGAGGGCAGGTAAGTAGCCTGGGTCGTCAATCTAGTATTGAATAATGAGGGCTGCATTCACACAAACCGCCGGAGTTGCGCTTGAAATTTGTATTTCCTATAGAGACCCGGGACGCATCGCTTTATCTGGTGACCTAATGTTCTACTTGCTAATTCGCTTCTGATAAACCGCATTTATGACGCTTTTCCTCATGCATTGGGTCCATCACATGTAAGGTCAGCATAAACAGATTACTCCGACTTAGTCGTCAGCTGCTTCTTGAATCATTGCAATTAACTAGGGCACTGGTTCACAACAAGACCTCCTTCGCATCTTGACCAAGGTTGTACCTGTCGCTTCCTTGTTACTGTTTTCCTCATTCAATAACCAACCCTCCTGTTTTTGTCAATATGAACATTTTATTTGGAATGATTTCATCATGTCAAATACTGGAATCGACAGCCATTGGTACTAGGTGGTTCTTCAGGATGGCTCTTTTTATATCCACAAGCTCGTTCGAGTAGTCTGCGTTCCTTAGTGAACCAAAGCGACTTTTTCTTTTGGTATTGTTGCTGTTGTTGTCATATCATTTAGCTTCACACAATCTCTAGCACGGGTTTTTTCACTTTCATCCAACCGGGAACAAGACGATACATTCTTGGTTCTGCACAATTGCTGCGCTGGCCGTTTTGGCCTTCACTTTTCTCCTGTGTATAAGACCTTTCATTTCTTGGTTATCGTCTAGCAGCTTGCTTTTTGCACGTTGCCTACAAGACTGTCCACTAAATGTGACAATGCTTGCATTGGTCGTTTCCTAGTAGGAGAACAGTTCATCTAACAACCTGGTATGTCCCCTCACTGAACTACTTGTTGTGCCGAAAGTTATCATGCTGACTGTTTCTCTTGTGCTAGGATTTGTCGTTGGGCGCGTGACTGAGCAATCAGGCGGTCGTAGTTTCGCAGGCGTAGAATGGCAGCAGGGCAGCAGTACGAAGGCAGCTTACAACAGTGACGACAGGAGTCAGAAGAACCCAAAGATGTCAGTCAGTTTTGAACAATTGCTGACTCTGTTGCAGCAACAGCAGGCGCAGTTTGAGAAAGCACAAGCCAAGTTGATCGAAACGCTGACCAAAAATTTGTCACTAAAGTCAGGCTCGGTAACAGGAACAAGTGAACGTTGCCCCTCAGCAGAAACCTTGACCCAGAAAGTTTGTGAGTTCCGTTACGATGCCGATGCCGATATTACTTTTGAATCGTGGTTCCATAAATACGAAGACGTGTTTCGCGTTGCTTTAGCCGGTGCTTCAGATGACAAGAGAGTTCACCTCATGCTGCGGAAATTGGGTACGGCCGAGCATGATAAGTTTATGAATTTCATCTTGGCGAAAAAGAGCACTGATTTAACATTAGATGAAGCGGTTGCTACTTTGTCCCAGATATTTGGAGAGCAGTCGTCATTATTCAATATCCGATACAAGTGCCTGACAATGACAAAGCGAGACGGCGAAGACTGGGTTCCTTACTCGAGTCGCATAAATCGTGAGTGTGAATGGTCGCTGATCAGTACAAGTGTTTTATTCATGTGTGTGGTCTTCAAGCGACGACAAATGCTGATGTCCGAACAAGAGTACTGAGCAGAATTAAACAAAATCCCGAGATCACACTGCAAGCAGTGACAAACGAATGCCAACGGTTGATGAACTTGAAACATGGTGTTGCGATGACCCAACAGCCATCTATCCAGAGTAGCCAGGACATCATTTGCAGGGTCAGCTAAAGTCCTCAGTAAGAATCGGTTCATGTGAGTTCATCACATTCTAAACCCCCTTCTGCTTGTTGGTTTAACAGTGAATGACACTGGTCGAAACTGTCCGTTCCGCAATCACATTTGCAATCGCTGTGGTAAGCGAGGACACAAAGAGTCGTGTAGTCTTGCGAAGCGACCAACAATGAGCGGAATACGGCGTCGAATCCCGATGCGCTTCCGATGTCACATTGGTGACTTTCAAGGTTGACGGTGTTGGCAGGCGTAAGTTTACAATTTTGAAGATCAACGATAAGGAAGTTAAGCTGCAGTTGGATACTGCGTCAGACATCTGTTTGATTTGTCGCAACACATGGTGTATGCTGGGACGACCACCACTTGTCCACACAGATCACACAGCACGAAACGCATCTGGCGGTATTTTGAAACTTCTCGGAGAGTTACATTATCGGGTCAGTTTCTGAGATCAGCACATTTGTACAACCTGTTTTGTGACAGATCAACCAGGACTGAATTTGCTGGGTCTCGATTGGATGGAGGAATTGAGATTACTTGACCAGTCAGTTAACAGTATATGCCAGAAATTATAAGTTGAGAAACCCGCAGAGACGCAGAATATGTATCTCGAACTTTACAGTCAAATTGCGGAATTGAAACGACACCACGAAAGTTTGTTCCAACCCGGTCTTGGATGCTGCCGGATAGCCAGAGCTGAGTTTGACCTCAAACCAGACGCCAGACCAGTCTTTAGACCAAAACGTCCAGTGCCGTACGCAACACAACCAATAGTGGAGTCTGAGTTAAATCGGTTGCAGTCGGAAGGCATAAGCGAGCGCGTACATTACTCAGAATGGGCTGCACCCATCGTTGTGATAAAGAAAGGAAACGGCAAGGTACGTATTTGTGCTGACTTTTCAACCGGCTTAAATTCCATGTTGGAGAACCACCAGTACCCTTTGCCTATACCTGAAGATTCGTTCACCAAGCTTAACGGTGGAAAATGATTTGCGAAACTCGATCTAGCTGATGCTTACTTACAACTTTCAGTAGCCGAGAAGTGGAGAACTCTATTGACGGCCAATACGCATCTGGGTCTTTTCCAGTACAATCGGTTGCCATTCGGAGTGAAAACTGCTCCCGCCATTTTTCAACAAATCATAGATACGCTGCTGAACGATATCCTTAGGGTCGCAGTATACCTGGATGACGCATTGATTATGGGGTCTGACCCACAAGTATTGCTGGCCACGTTAGAGAAAGTGCTCACTCGTCTAGAAGAAGCTGGCTTCCGGTTACGAGCGGAAAATGCAATTTCCTGATGGAAAGTGTCAAGTTTCTTGGGTTCCTCATTGACAAACATGGCCGACGTCCGGATCCCACTAATATAGAAGCCGTCAAGCAAATGCTACCACCAAGGGGTGTCGCCGAACTTCGTTCATTTCTCGGTCTTATAAATCATTATAGTGCCTTCTTGCCAAGTGTACATCAGACAAGGGGTCCTCTGCACGAGTTGCTGACGAAAGGAAAAGAATGGCGATGGACAAAGGAGTGCCAACATTCCTTTGATACAGTTAAAACAGCGCTCAGTTCTGATTTACTTTCGACCCACTTCAACCCAAACTTAGAGATTGTTGTTGCTTCGGGCGCCTCCAATTATGGGGTAGGTGCTATCCTTTCTCATGTGTTCCCTGGAGGAGAAGAGAAGGTCATTGCGCACACAGACGGTCGTTGACTGTGGCGGAGAATAATTGCAGCCAGATTGAGAAGGAAGCGCTGACGATTGTTTTCGCATTGAAACGGTTTCATAAAATGCTATATGGTAGACATTTCAAACTGATCACGGACCACAAACCTCTACTCTAGATATTTGGATCAAAGAAGGGTATTCCTGTTTTCACAGCAAGTCGGTCACAGTGGTGGGCAACCGTACTGCTGACTTACGATTTCAGTATACAACACCGATCTACACAGCAACTCGACCAAGCTGACGCTCTATCTCGCCTCCTCAGTTTCCACCTGAAAGAAAACGATGACTGCGTGATTGCATCTGTCAAATTCGAGTCGGAAGTTCAGCGCATCCTGGTTGATAATATAAGGGAGTTGCCATTAACGTCGGACACGATTCGTGCAGAGACGGCTCAAGACGATATCTTGCTGAAAGTGGTAGGGTTTGTGCAGTCCAGTTGGCCTAATGTCAGAATTTCGAATGAGTTACAACCTTTCTTTAATCGGCGCGTATCCCTTTCGGTCGTTGACAATTGTCTAATGTTTGGAGACCGAGTCGTGGTACCAGGGAAGTTACAGAAGCGGATACTACAGCAGTTTCCTTCAGGACATCCGGGAACCAGCCGAATGAAGGCACTGGCGCGAAGTTTTGTGTATTGGCCTCAAATTGATGCAGAAATCGAGCAGTTCTGTCAAACTTGTGAATCCTGTCAACAACCGGCAAAGGCACCTCCGAAACGTTCGTGGCACCCTTGGCCCGAATTGAAGAAGCCCTGGCAGAGAATCCACTTGGATTATGCGGGACCAATC